AGGGAACCAACTGCTTAATCAGCCGCAGATGGTAAAAGGCTGACTTCTCAGTGGCTGCTACGTGGGCCTCCGTTAAGGAGACATTCAGGAGCACTCCCAGACTCCTAACCTCCAGCACTGGCACCAGCGGCGCCCCATCAAAGGTCAGGAGAGGGATCCCTGAGCTACTGGCATTAAAAGTTGTGAGTGAGCGATTTGGCTACTGCATAAATTAGTTTGCTCCGGAGCCATCCTTCTTGAGCTATGACAACTGTGAGCTAGCTCACACTAACTCAGCTTAGAGGGAACACTGGTCACGATGCATAATAATGCGATGGGGGGGGGGGAGTAAGAGGGCTGGAATTCCATTCAGTGTAAAGAGGAATTCAGCATAAAGAGGAAACATCCAGAGATGCAGAATGGGTGCATGCTTTCAATCACAGAAAAAGAGACAATAAAGGCACCGTCACAGAACCTCGACTATTTTGCAGCTAAATGTAAGGACACAGCATTTTCCAAGGAACTAGCATTGCCAGGTCCCCTCTGGCCACTAATAGGGGGGTTAGGTAGGGTTGCCAGCTCCAGGCTGGGAAACTCCTGGAGATATGGCAGTGGAGCCTGGGGAGGAGAAGGGACCTTGGAGGGATACAGTGCCATAGGCGCCACTCCAGGGGAACTGATCTCTGTCATCTGGAGATCAGCTGTAATTCCGGGGGATCCCCAAATCCCACCTGGAGGCTGGCATCCCTAGCTGCCTTGGGCATACTTCCTGTAAAGCTCAGACCAAAGAGCTCTACCAAAAGATGTTTCCCATTCTATTAACTTCCTCCTTCTGTGTGCTGCATTTGACTATTATAGCTTTCCTGCATGGATCTAAAAATAAAGATGTTCCCCCCTACACATGGGTTAAAAGCAGAATTGTCCTATAAACTGAACTCCATTAGCTGCAGCACACAAAATGGCTGGGTATGCAGCTGATACCATTAACCAGGGCAATTCTACACATGTCTAACTAGGAGCAAGTCCTACTGTGTTATTGGTGCCAGCCAGGAGTGGCTGAGCTATTCCATCAGAGCGATCCACTGCCTTCCCTGGCATAAACGCCGTGTACACTAGAATATTACTAACCGCTGAGCTGCCTGTCGGGTAATTTGAATTAGTTATCGAAATTTTAAATTGTTGGAATTAATGTTTTTAATGATTCAATGTTTTTATGGAACTGCTCAACTGCAGATATGTTGGGAGCTGCTCTGAGCCTGCTTGTGGGGTAGAGGTGCACAGAACGCTGTTACCTTCCCACCAAAGTGGTACCTATTTATCTACTTGCAATGTCTTGCTTTCGAACTGCTAGGTTGGCAGGAGCTGGAACTAGAGATGGGAGCTCACTCCGTCATGCGGCACCTGGGTCTCGAACTGCTGAACTACTGACCTTCCACAGCCTGCAGTTCAGTGTCTTAACCACTTGAGCCACCGCAGCTCCAGGGAGGGATACAAATGTCAAAATAAATAAATATTATAAAAAAGAGTTATGCTGGGTAAGACTGTAGATCCATCTAGTCCAGCAACATTTTTTCTACCGTGGCAAGCCAGATGCACCTATGAAGTAGAATATGAAATCCATAGCTGTGCCTGCCCTCTTGCCTGTATACTGCCCCTGGCGTCCCAGAGGCCAAGTCTACCCACCACTGATTTATCACAAAGATTCCATTTAGTTATCATTAATATGGATAGACCTACCCTGCCTGAAATTGCCCAGTCTCCTTTGAAAACCGTCTAACCCAGCAGGTATCGCTGCATCCCGTGGCAGTGTGTTCCACAAGCTAACTATGCACTGTAGAATCATAGAATCACAGATCTGGAAGGGGCCATACAGGCCATCTAGTCCAACCCCCGGCTCAATGCAGAATCAGCCTAGAGCATTCCTGACAAGTGTTTGTCCAGCTGCTGCTTAAAGACTGACAGCTCACCACCTCCCTAGGCAGTTGATTCCACTGTTGAACAACTCTTATTGTAAAAAAGTTTTTCCTAATGTCCAGCCGCTACCTTCCCGCCCTTAATTTAAACCCATTATTGCAAGTCCTATCCTCTGCTGCCAACAGGAACAGCTCCCTGCTCTCCTCTAAGTGACAGCCCTTCAAACACTTCAAGAGAGCAATTATTATTATTATACTTTCAATTTATGAATTGCTTTCCCCAGTGGGCTCAAAGCGATGTACAGTTACACATTTTAGACAGGGGACTACCAATGTTCATAGGGGATAGGGAAGACAACACATATTAATTTAATTGCACACGCTGTCACTGCACGGTGTAAACATCTTCTGGCTTGGCTCAGTCATTTTCCGAACGGCTGCTTGTCGACGAGGCTTCAGGACCCGTATGTCAAATCGCTACACTGCCACCGCCTGGCTGGAAAGATCCACTGCAGGGATTTTTGTAGCCGAGAAGTTCTTCCGCCTTTTCCGAACCTCGACCAGGAGGTCCCGACTGTCAGCTAACACCCTCCCACAAGGGAGATTGGTGTGCCCACCCTCTCTAAGGAGTGGTTCCCATTTTATCTACTCGCCAATGTCCCCCCTCAACCTCCTCTTCTCCTCATAGGGCTTGGTCTCCAGGGCTCCAATCATCTTCGTCACTCTCCTCTGCAACTGTTCAGTTCTGTCCACATCTTTGTTGAAGTGAGGCTTCTAGAACTGCAACCAATAATCCAAGTGGGGCCTGATCTATGCAGTGTACATTGGGACTATGACATCTTGTAATTTGGATGTTATGTCTCTGTTGATATACCCCAAGATTGCATTGGCCTTTTTATTGCCGCATCACACTGGCTGCTCATATTTAACTTATGGTTCACCCCTACCCCAAGATCTTGTTCACAAACACTGCTATCCAGAAGTGTATCCCCCACCCAGTGTGTGTACAATCTGTGGCTATGGACATACATGATTTGATGGTGAGTTTGTGGTGACTCAGTGAGAAAATCCTGAGGATCCATGCTTTGGAACCATGTTTTTGCTATGTGTGGGCACCATAAAGCAGTGAATCCATGATTTTTGTGGTGAAATCTGTGGCTACAGACATATGTGATTTGATAGTGAATTTGGGGTGATCCAAAGCAAAAATTCTGATGATCCACAGGGATGCAGGCTTTGGAACCATGTTTTTGTGCCATTGTGTTGCCACAAAGCCATAGATTGCTATTTTTGTGAAGCAGTCTGTAGTTATGGACATGTGTCATTTTATGGTGAGTCTGGGGCAACATAATGCATAAACCCTGAGGATCCATGCTTCAGAATCATGTTTTTCCAATGTGGTAGTGCCACAAAGTGGTGGATGTGTGATTTTTGTCATGCAATTAATGGTTATGGGCAAGATATGGATTCAATGGTGAGTTCGGGAGGATGTTATACAAAAATTCTGAGGATCTGTGCTGCAGAACCACCTGTTTTGCACTTTTGCAGTACCATGAAGCTGTGAATGTGTGATATGTGTGGTGTGATCTGTGGCTACGGACATGATATTGGAACTGATGGTGAGTTAAGGGTGACATAATGCAAACACTATGAGCATCCATGCTTCAGAACCCTGTTTTTGCAATGTGACTGTGCCACAAAGTGGTGGATGTGTGAGTTTTGTGGTGTAATCTGTGGCTATGAACAAGATGTGCGATTTGATGGTGCGTTGGTGTGATTAATGCAAAATCCGGGGGATCCATGAGGATCCATGCTTCAGAACTAATTTTTTTTTTTAAAGCAGCAAAGAATCTGTTTTTGCCACAAAAAACCACATTGATAAGTTATTTGTGCAGGAAGGAGATGCGAGAAGGGCAACCCTACCAGAAAGAATGACAGACTCTTACTGGGCGGCTGGATCATCATCAGTTATGAATTTGGCAGTTAGAAATACACATTTGCTTGGTTCAATTACTATGCCCACAACAGCAGCTCCTGCTTCACAGTACTTTACACTAGCTGTTAAAGTTCTGGGCCCTGGCTCAAAGTCCTGAACTTTATCTAGATTAAGCAGAATAAGCAGGGGACATTTCATAGAAAAAGAGGTGCAGGAGCTCATTTGCATATGGCACACCCCCTGACAAAGGGCAGGCATGCAAGCATGCCTGGGTTCCCTGCCTGATCTTCTCAAGATTGGGCAGGGAACCCAGGCATGTTTAAAATGCCTTTCTTTCCCTTCCCCAGATGGGGAAAGAAAGGCATTTAAATCCCCCTGGCAGTGGGGGGGTGGGGGGCTCTGCAGGCCTTCCCTGGCCTGTCTTGCCTTGGCAGGTGGGCCAGGGAAGGGGGGAGCCCGCCTCGCCCCTGGGCTCCTTACTGCTGGAGCACTGTTCCAGTGCGCTCCGACAGGAAATGACCCCTGACAATAAGTATCTTATTTATATCTTACCTTTTTTCAAAAGGAAAATCAACGTTAATGAATACAGATTTAGGTACGGGTAATCCTGGATATGCTCAGACTGCTGCCCCTCCAACCAACTCAACAGAATCCAAGAACACAGCATACCACAAGTAGAGAAGGGATGCAATTTGTATCGGTGCCAGGAGCCCTAATTCGATGCAAGCACACACACCAAACGACATACTGCTGTGGACATGACCAGATCCAAAACCGAAAGGACAAAAGAACTGACACAAAACTCATCATCAGGCTGGAGGGTGAGTAGGATCTCGGACCCATTTCATTTTGATCGGTCCTCATATAGTAGTATTACGTGGCTTTTGTTTTTGCAGCCTCTTTCTCCTTTGGGAAGATCTGTGACAGCCGATGGAAAGGTTTCAGCCCAACTAAGGTATAATGTAACACAGGACTCTCCCAATTTCCTTCTCCAGAAGTAGTTCCTTGGGTTTTATAAAAAAATCTTTATAAAGATATCCTCATTTTCAGAAACAGCTTCTCAAACTTTGTGTTAAGTAATAAGAGTATGCACTTTACTAAAGAACAGTTTTTTATTTAAAAATCCAGAACAAGAATCAACTGATCAGCAGAAATTGTTCTATTGACTCCACTATATACAATGGTCACAGTTTAGTGTACAGGGGTGAGAGCATCGTAGAGTCGCTGCGCAGCCAACTCCACCATTTCCCGAAGAGTTTCATCATCATCTTCACATCCTGGTTCATGGTCAACAGTCTAAGAAAAGAGAGAGAGAGAGAGAGAGAATGGAGTCAATCTTCAATTTATCTCATTTTTATTTTTAATATAAAAATGGATCTGTTTAGGAGGGTCCGTGCTCAGAACTGAAGCACTTAAAAAGTCAACTTGGGGGAAAAAAGAGCTCAAGAGGACTTCAGTTGTTTTTCTAAGACAAGCATATCTGTGACATATGGCAAGCTGGGTCTTCAAGTTAGTTTCAAGAACACTTTCAGGTGGGTAAATCTGTAACAGTAGAACAAAACAGAGCCCAGCAGTATCTTAATGACCAACCAATTTTTTCCAAGGCATTTTCCAAATTGACACTGTAATGGTTAGCAACAATATACATTAGCTGAATTCAACTTAATTCTTTCTAGGCCATTAGGACACCTGTAATATGAGATATCCAAATCAAAATATAAAGGATCTGTGCTGGTTGTTGAGCATATTTACTACTTTGGATGGAGAATGACTGAAGTATTTAGGGATATCTTTCCATGGCAGATAGTCCGAGTTATCCTTTTTTCTCCCAGCAGCTCTCCCAGAAAAATACCTTGCTGTACTGTGGATTCTGAATTGAAGTTTGGATGACTGTATCATGCCTGCACTAAGATGCCTTTAACAGGCACTAGGTTTATGACAACTGCTGTTTACTATAATGCAGAACCATTCTGACAACCAGCCCTGATGCCAGTTACAGGTACAGACAAACAGTCTATCCTGGCCAGACTTCTTTGGGGTGTGGGTGAAGTTTAGTCCAAATGGAAATATTCTCTCATTTTGCCATTTTCCTACCTGGCAATTTCTACACTCAGCACCCCTTGTGAAAAAGCACAGTGATTCCTTAACTAGTACACAATAAATAACTGTGAGTTACTCTGTGACCAGAAAGCAAAGTAAAATTTTAATACATTGCTTCTCATCATTCTTTCTCCTATTCCTTAATTCCTTAACTACTACACAATAAATAACTGTTAAGTTACTCTGTGACCAGAAAGCAAAGCAAAATCTTAATACAATGCTTCTCATCATTCTTTCTCCTATTCCTTTTTTTCATACCAGCTTATAGCAAGTCTGATTATCAGAAGAGAACCAGTGAAAATGGTAAACAAATAGTGACTAGGGATAGGCACCAACTGAAAAAATGGAGGTTCATGGAAGTCTGTGCTCCGGGGTTTTTCACGAACCCTGAACTTCCAAGAACTTCTCTACTGCATGAACCAGTTCATTTTTTGGAAGTTCATGCCCACCCCCAGAAGTGAGCTCTGAGAGCATTTAAAATGCCATCTGAGCCCACCACCCTGACCCAAGTGAGCTCCGAACCTTCAGAGCCCACCTCTGGGTTGAGCCGGCCTGAATAAGCTCCGAGAGAATGAGCACTCTGAGTGAGCTCTGAAGGTTTTTATTAGCCTTTGGAGCCCAATTTTGGGTGGGGCCTGCCCATATAATGGCATATAAGACCTATGAAAGCCTTCAGAGTGCACTCTGGGAGGTCAGTTGAGTCAGGCCACCTGACTCGAGTGAGCTCCGAGAGTGAGCTCTGAGGGCCTATACATTTTTATTTTATTTATTTATTATTTCGACTTTTACCCTGCCCTCCCCGCCAAAGCAGGCTCAGGGCGGCTCACATAAAACCAGTAAAACAATATATATTCAATACAAAAATATCTAAAACACTGCATAATACAGTTTAAAACCATTATCGATGGCGGCTTTCTGAGTCACGTGCGTTCACATGCTGTCAACTGTACTACTGCTCTGGAAAGCTTCAGCTCTAGGTCGGCCCAGAGGTTATCGGAAGGCCTGCCGGAAAAGCTCCGTTTTCACGGCCCTGCGGAACTGTGAGAGGTCCCGCAGGGCCCTGATCTCACCAGGGAGCTCATTCCAGTAAGCCGGCACTATTAAAGAAAACACCCTGGTCCTAGTCGATGTCAATCTGGCTTCCTTTGGACTAGGGAGGGCCAGGCGGTTTTGGAGTCCTGATCAAAGTGCTCTCTGGGGGACATGCGGGGAAAGGCGGTCCCTCAGGTAGGCAGGCCCCTGACCATAAAGGGCTTTAAAGGTCAAAACCGGCACCTTGAAGTGAATCCGGAGCGCTATTGGCAGCCAGTGCATGCCTTTAGCCCAGGCTGGATGTGTTCCCGCATAGTGAGACCCATCAACAGCCTGGCCGCCGCATTTTGCACCAGCTGCAGCTTCTGGAGTTGCACCAAGGGCAGCCCAATGTAGAGAGCATTGCAGTAGTCCAATCTTGAGGTGACCATTGCATGGATCACTGACGCCAGATCATTGCGTTCGAGGAAGGGAACCAATTGCCTGATCAGCTGGAGATAGTAAAAGGCTGCTACCTGGGTCTCCATTGTTAAGGAAGCATCTAGGAGCACTCCCAGACTCCGGGCCAACAGCGCCCCATCGAAGGCCAGTAATGGGATCCCTACCCCCGTACCGCTCCAATTCAGGCACAGGCCCTCCGTCTTCGTCGGATTCAATTTCAATCAGCTCAGTCTAAGCCATCCCGCCACATCCTGTAGCCCCCGAACCAGGTCTTCTGGGTTGGAGTCGGACTGACTGCCCAACAGCAGATAGAGCTGGGTGTCATCTGCATATTGGTGGCACCCTAGCCCGTACCTCCAGGCAATCTGGGCAAGGGGGCGCATATAGATGTTAAAGGCCTTCAGATCTCATTCTTGAAGCTCAGCCAGGCCCGTCCGACCTGTAGATGGGCTCCAATGGCATTTAAATGCCTTCAGGGCTCACTTCCGGTAGGGCAGCCCAACCCTACTCAGGTCGGGCCATGGGCCAGTGGTGGGCTCTGATGGTATTTAAATGCCTTTGGAGGTCACTTCCAACCCCGCCCACGAACCTCCATGAAAACATGGATGTTCGTGGGCGGTTTTGTGGGACAAACAGGTCTCCCGAACCCCTGGTTTGTGTGAACCGGGGTTCATAAGTCAGTTTGTGCCAGTCCTTAATATTTATTAACAGAAGCCACAATATTTCAATATTTGATTTCAAAAACTCATATGGGATGTGTTGACTTAAGATGTGTACTGTCTCAAGAAATTTTAACTGTTAAGAAAAATAATGTCAGTATAAAATTTAGATGAACATACCCGTGTATCCAATGAAAGATTTGCTGATTTTCCATCCACTGTGACAGTTATAATGTTATCTTCCTTGGCACTTACACAGTCTTCTCCAAAAATGTCCCTGCAAATGAAGGCCCATCGTTACAAATGCAAAACAGCACCAAAGTACTCTCCAGCACAGTCTATTCAGGGGGCGTAAATTTGCTTACTTCCGGTTTTAAAGATATTCCTAGGAAAGAGGCTGCTGCTTATCACTAACCCCAAATTTAAACAGTTTAATTCATGGACTAATGAACTCTTCAATTGGATTATGACAAGGAATCAATTTAAAATCAGAGGCTGGCTGCAAATTAAGGGCACACATTTATTTTCTGAAAGTAATTTGCTTCTGGGGTGTACAGTTAAGAGAGACTGAAAAATGGAAATATCAGAAAGAGCCTTCCTGCTATGCAACAATAAATGGCAATGTTTATTAAATTATACCCCCTTCAAAAGACATGTCCATACTGAGGTTATGTTAATATGCAATCTAATATGCATTATTTAATCAGTTTATCATCAAACAAACAAATTTCAAATGACTGAAATCAAAGAACACTTAGAATATTACTGTGCATTTTCAGAAGACATTTTATTCACAAGGAGATGCACTAAAAATTAGCTGCAAATGCTGATAGTTTTTCTGTATTGTAATGTCAGAACTTACTGTAGCATGATCTCCATCTTTTTGTGATACGCATCCATGTCTATTTTTTTAGGAAGTTTATGTACCGTAGCTGAAAAACAGATTGAACATTCCATTTGTGACAATATGGTTGATTTCAGGTCTTCAGGAGCAAAGAAAACATTAATATACACCTATAAAGTTGCTAGAAGTCTGAACTTTACACAATAACATTAAACTATGTTTTGTTCATATAATGCCAAGGAAAAAGGGGGCCATAAAGTTAGTGAACCTGCAAGTCCACTTCTGCTCTACACATGCCAAATATGTTTACTGATCTGCCAAGAGAAAGACGTTTCAAAAGCAGACTATAACCTACTTAATTCTACACCTACAGTGGACTGTAGCTGATACTTCTTCGGTTGGCAGAGCTGAACCTGAGGTATGAGCGAAATATCTCCCAGAGACCATAATTTTCTTCTACAAAGCTGAATTCTCTAGAATTCCTATCAGTAATACATTAATGAAAATGATTTGATTTCATTCAACATATTATACCCATTTTGCACATGAATAATTCATTTAAACTGCCTTCAACACTGAATCATGCTAAATTAAACATGCTCCCAAATCCCGTGACAGGGAGGGAAATTTACATCATGAAACAGACAGGAAGACCTTAGAATCTGTGCTTTATGGGTCTTGTTTATTGGCTTAATGCTTCTGTATATTTAACATCTATTTGCCCCCCCTGCCCAGCTGATGCAGGAGCTTTGGACTGGGTTGCCATCAGTACACTGATGACTCCCAGCTATATCTGTTGATGGCCAGCCAGCTGGGCTCTGCCCCTGCAAATCTGGCAGAAGGTTTGGGAGCTGTGGTTGGACGGTTGAAGCAGGGACGGTTGAAAGACAGAGGTCCTGTGGCTGAGCCGGAGAGACCTGGGGTTGGCGTGCCAACTCCCGACCCTTGACAATGAGCATTTAACACCAGTGAATAGTTTGGGAGTGGATTCTGGATGTCTTCCTTTCTATGGAAGCCCAGATCACAGCGAGAGTTCTCACTAGAACTCCAATTAGAAGATATATCCCACCAGTGCTCCCCCCAGCTGCACTGGCTCTAGATTGAATTCCACATCAAGTTCAAGGTGTTGGTTTTAACCTTTAAAGCCCTACACGGTCTGGGACCAACATACCTTTAGGACTGCCTCTCCTGGTATACCCCCCCCCCGAGCATTTTGCTCATAGGATAATGATCTCCTAGTGGCCCCCTGGACCAAGAAACATCCGATTGGCCTTGACCAGAGCCAGAGCTTTTTTGGCCCTGGCCTGGTCGAATGCTCTTCTAGCTGAAATCCAGGCCCTGCGGAATCTTTTACAGTTCTGCAGGGACTGCAAAACAAAGCTGTGCCACCAGGCCTATGGCTCATGAAGGAGAAGAAAAACTCCATCTGATGGGCCCCGTCCTGCTTCTTTTTGTGGACTTTCCCCTAGTTTTCGATGTGGTTAAATTCTCCTAATCGATGCTACGTTGTTATGCCATCTGACTGTTGTTGATTGATGTTTTAATAGTTTTAACTGATTTATCATTCTTTTATATATATGTTGTTACTCGCCCTGAGGCCTGTAGTAGCAGGGGAAGGTGAGTCAGAAATCAAATTAAATAAATCGAGTCATATGCTGCCTTTCTACTTCTCAAAGACATCTATAGTAGCTAACAATCCATAAAAGCCTAACATACACACCTTGATTGAAGACTGACAGCATCACCAACCCCTGCCCCCAAATTGCTAAAACTGTAGACGGACTACAACCTTCCAGCAACATGGAGTTTTAGGGCCCCACATTTGCCAGTTTAACCTCAGTTATCACTAACAACGTACCGTAAGTTGGTTCACTTATCTTTACGCATCAGCACAAAGATGTTAAGCACTTACATTTATGTATTTTGGGATTCGACTGAACTTCCAGTATCACTGTCGTTACAGTGTCTGCATACATATCATTAGCAGGATTTGCGACCCACTGGGAAGAAAAGAGGCCAAGAAGTGAAACCAGGATTATAAGATCATCATTTTTAGAAAGTTCATATTGTGGAATGCCACTTGACACATTTTAATTTTTGTCTTCTCTATCTATGCAAGGCTGCGAAGAAAAAGGTGGGGAGAACAGGAGATCAAAATTCAGGGAGATCGGATCATACTAGAGGCCCAAGAAGCCAGGCGAGTCATGTAATTTGCTTGTTTAAGATGTCTGGGCGGGATACGCATGATACTAGAGGGGCCCAAAGGGGATCTTTGTTTGGGGGCCTGCAGTGGTCTTCGGCAGCCCCACCACCAATTAATGAGCTTTCGATCTGGTTTCAAATTCTGTTTAAGAGCGAATCCTGGTCAGTATTCACTCTTATTTAGCACAGAGCCAATGTAATGTTGCAGCCTGCTCCTGACCACAGCCAACAAATTACAACCACTGCATCTTCAACATCGGCACGTTATGGAGGGCCTTACAATGTGAATGGCAGCAAAGAAAAGAAGGAAAAGCAGGTCAGATTGAGAAGGCACCACCATTTAGTCTCACAAAAAGACAGACTGGCTGAATGATTCTCAGCAAACACTTTACCAAAGCCACAAGTAGCCCCCCCCCCGTCCATACTTACCTCGAGCACCACCATGCCTGGTTCCTGGATCACAGTAATGGCTTTAAAAACTTTATAAGCCGGCTTATCCTGGACTTCTATTTCTTTCACATCACCTTAAAAATGACCAAGATCACAACAGCAAAACTAAGGAAAGTGGAATTTGTCCATAATAAGCAGCATCTACTTTTTCAATAAAATGTAACTCCTCTTTTGGCTGTATCAAACATTCCTTTTTGAAGGTTACAACTGCCTGAATGACAATGCAGTTTTCTTCCTGGAGAACTGAACCAGCCTGTGTGTGGGCAAACTGTAAGTGAATCAGGCAATTAATGGTAGATGCGACCAGTGGCCAATTTTGCTCACAGTGACAAAGAATGTACTCCGTGATTTCATTCTTAGTTTCCATTAGCCAGATTCAATGTCCTCTTCTCCTGAACTCTTTTTTAGCACCTAATCACCTGTGCAATCATACTTTTATGACTTCATTCAAAGAGGAATTAACATGTGCAATTCCCTGCTACAGGATGTATTGTAGCCCACTAGTATAAGGGGATTTAATTGGGATTAAAAGGGGATTCATGGAGGATAGGTCTGTGAGTGGCTACTAGTGGTGTGCATTTGGATCTACCCGAGCCAAAAATATACCCAAGAAATACCTTATTGGTATTCCCAAACGTATGTGGGTTTTCTTGGGAAAACCGGGGGTGGGGAATCCTGAGAAAATTCTGGATATATTCAAGAATTTCAGGTAGCTCTAAAAACAGCAGAGATGTGGGAGTAAATTGCTCCTGCCTCTCAGTTATGCAGTCCCTTTAAACTTTAAAGGGACTGCAGAAGTCAGCCTGAGGAACAGCTGGAGTGCAGAAGTTGCAAGAGGAGCCAGCCCAAGATCAGCTGTGTCGGAGGGGAGCTGAGAGCTCCCTGCCAGCACAGCTCCGCACTGCCTTCTCCTGCCACCCGGTTTAAACTGGGAGGCAGGAGAAACCAAGCCAGCTCCTCGTACTGAGATTTTTTTTTTACTGATATTTTTCTTCTTACTGATATTTTTCTTCTTAGGTCTATTGGACCCAAAAAATTCGGGATTTCAGAAAAACCCCAGATCCAGAAAAATCCTGGTATTTAGATCCAGGGTTTCTCAGGAATCCCATTTTTTCCCAGTTCCAATAGACCCAAACCAAAAAATACGGGTAAAAAATAATAATTGCACACCCCTAGTGGCTACTAGCCAAGATGACTAAAAGTAGCCTCTGCATCCAAAGGCAGTAAACCTCCAAATACCAGTGGTAGGAGGCAACATTAGGGGAAGGCCTTGGCCTCTGTGCCCTGCATGAAGTCCTTCTGGGTCCATATGGCTGGCACTGTGTGAAATGGGACGCTGGAGTAGATGGGTCATTGAACTGATCCAGCGGGGCTGTTCTTCAGCAACTCCTCCATCTTGTTATTGCATTACGCAGGTCCTTCAAGCCAGCTGGAAAAGTGCTGTGAGGTAGGGGTTAAGGAGAGAGACTCAAGAGAGGAAGAGGAGTAGGGTAAGTAAGGAGTGTGGAGAGTGACAAAAGGGAAGATTGTGAATGGGATGAAGGAGGAGAAAGAAGAATGGGCCTTGAAAAGGGATAAAGGAATGTGGAGGCAGGGCAGCAAGAGGGCACCAGGCAACACAAGTGAATCCCACAGCATTGGCAGGTGCCACATTTGGGAACTGCTGGTGTAAACTATAAACCACAGTGATTTAACTTACAAGCATCAAGGCATGTTTGATGACAGCCAAGAAACGAAACCAAATACTAGACATAGCATTTAGGGCTCTGGTTTTCAAACCTCCTGCCCTCATGAACGCTTTCCATACTGATTAATCAGCCAAGGAATTCTTTTCCATTAGCCATAGAACCTTTGCAATTGCAGAGGATTCTGGGGCACATTCCGGGGGAAATTCTAGTATATTCGCCACTTCCATTTTATATACTTTGGCAAGGATTTCAAAACCAAGCTGCATATTATAGCTTTCTAGCTTGGAAAAAAAATGACAGAAGAGATTGAAAAAAACAAAACAAAAGCTCAAATGGATCTCAAGCATTTCTTTTCTGTTACTCACTAGTTAGTTTTTGCAGTTGGTAGTAAAGCAAAATAAAAGAGCCGGTGTATGGAACAGCCTGTGTCTGTGTCACGGTGCTCATGGCCAGATCAGTGTAGTCTGTGGGAAATGAAGGGGGGGGGGAGAGAAAAGATTAAGGAACATAAACTGGGTTTACGAAATAGCCTACTGAGATGAACCAGCCACTGTTACTTACTAGACAGGTCACATGGAGCAAGGATGTGATAGTTAAAGTTCCTCTTCACCAGTATTCCTGAAACTCTTTGCCCTTGTTCTGGTTTCTTGTCTGCTAGAGAGCCCATGACCTGACAAAAGGGACAACAACAGACTATTAATGAAAGGGTCAACATATAAGAAAGGTGAACAAAAATTAAAATGTGGAGAAGAAAAGT